TCTGTGTGGCCTGCCAGGAAAGAAGTGGAAGTGGGTATGTCCAGTGTTCACCATCTTTGGGCTAGTGGGCTTGGGATCCTGGACAGCACCCCCTTGTGGTGAAACCCTATTTTTTCATCTCATGACTATGGCTACAGTTTGAGGTGCAAGAGATATGAGTCTCTATACATGTTTGTAACTAGATAAATACTCTATGATGGAAAAACATGTCTAGTCATTCCCCAGAACCCGTCACCGTCTGAACCCCATGGAGGTCCACTGCAAGTTGTGACTTTCTTTGAAAATGTGTTTTGAATGGTATCAAGCAAGATTTTTACACACAACCTCCATGAAAATGCAGCCTTTTGTATGAACTAATTTTATTTTTGCATGAATTTCCTCTCAAGGTAGCATCCTTTGGCATGGAGAAACTTTGCAATGCAACCAGTAAAATTAAGAGGCCCTGTGTTTTATAGGCGTAGCAAATTGGTGAGAGGCCATGAGAAGGGAATGGGGCCTCTTTCTCTCTCATACCAAGAGCTGGCCCCTATCGCTGCATTGACATGGTAGTCAGGAATGGAATGCTGCTCTTTTACTCTCTCCCTTGTTTCTATTAGCCGGAATGAAGCTACAGGAGACTCTCACTTGTGATGGCTACTGAGAGGTGCATGGAAAGAGATACACAGAGGAAGCTATAGGTGTTCTATGCTATTCTGACCCCACCGATCAACCCTCTCAGGTATAACCTGAGAAACAAGGAAGTGTTTAGTTTAGTTTAGTTGCAATGATCCTCGAGAATCCTTCCATAATGTCTCAGATACGGGCTTCTGGCAGGCAGTACACCTCCTGGGAAGTCAGGTCAGGCAGGCAGATGGCCAGACTCAATAAAGCGACCCTTCCAATCAGCATGACCTAATGTCCAGAATCAATAAAGTTGCCCCACTCTATGGAACTGTGTGGCCTATTGGCCCGTTGGGGAAGTGAGGCACCACTCAGGGGTTTGTGGTGCCCAGGGTAGGGGGACTCGGGCCCTCACTTCTTCTCCAAGTCCCAGCCCAGGGCCCCGGAGGTGGTGGGGGTGCTCACCACCGAGTCAGCGCACATCCTCCTGAAACATGCTGACTGGTTCCCCAGTTCACTCACCGGAGAAAAGTCTAAGTCTCCTGGGCTGCTTCCTACCCTTTCTCCCCTGGTGATGCTCCACAGCTCCCCCAGGTCTCTGGGTCTTCAAGTGGCGTAGCTTCTGTTGGTGCAGACTCTTCTCTGGGCTCCTCAGGCAGTCTGGGGTCAGTCTGGAGCTCTGCATGCTCTGGATCTGTATTTGGGGCCTGGAGCAGCTCCCTGGAGAGAGCCTGCAGTCTGCATCCTCCCCCTTCAGCAGCCTGCCCACACTGAGTTGGGCTGCTTCCTTTTATACTCTGCCTCCAGACTGAGCATGCCCAGCATAGTCAGAGAGCTGGGGCTTCCTCAGCCTGAAAAGCACAGTCAACCCTTTAGGGGTAGTTCAAGGTAGGTACACCCCATCACACCTGGTCAGAAGCCTCACCGGTGAAAGTTTATTATCCAATCAGCCACTTCTACAAAGGAAAGTCAACATGCACCAGCTTCATTACACTGAGCAGATTCCCGAAGCACTTCAAGCATAACACACTGTTTTAGGGAAAACATAAAACAGATTTATTAACTACAGCAAGATAGATTTTAAGTGATTATAAGTAATAAACATACAGATCAAAGTTGGTTACCCAAGAAATAAAAGCAAAATTACAATCTGAGTTCTATAAACTAGACAGGATTTGACTCAAACAATGTCTCACCATGATGGTATAGTTCCTTCAGCCACAGGCTGGGATTCCTCTTTTCAGCCTGGGACCACCTCCCCCGTTCAAAGCCTTTGTCCACAAGATGTCTTTACAGGTGTTGAGTTGTGGGGGGAATGAGACCAAGCAATGATGTCACTTCTCCCCTTTATAGCTTTCTCCAGCTTGCTGGAAAGATCCTTTGCTATGATGTGCGTAAAGCAGTCTCCATTCTCTACGTGCTCCCTCTGAGAAGCCTTCATTGTATACAGATCCTGTGATAGTTCTTGGTAGTGTGGATTTTCCTTAATAGGCCATCAACACTGGCTGTCTTCTCCATTTTTCTACCTGAAAGACTGGTTGTGGGTGTTTCCAATCTTACAATATATTTCAGTAACACACACACAGCAAGCTTCATAACTTTCCATACAGTGATAGCACATACAATGCAACAGGATATTAATGTTTTTTGAAATTAAGATTTTTGAAATGATACCTCACAAGGCATACTTTGTACAAAACCTATCATAGTCATATCCAATGGAAAATATGGGGGTGCCAGGGTACTAATTTAGAGCACAGAGTGTAACAGGGACATGATAGCAGTTTCCAAGTACATAAAATATATTTACAAGGAGGAGGGAGAAAATTTATTCTCCTTAACCTCTGAGGATAAGACAAGAAGCAATAGGCTTAAATTACAGAAAGGGTGGTTTAGGTTGGACATTAGGGAAAACTTCTTAACTCTCAGGATGGTTAAGCACTGGAATAAATTGCCATGGGAGGTTGTGGAATCTCCATCATTGGAGATTTTTAAAATCAATTTATTCAAACACCTGTCAGGGAGGGTCTAGATAATACTTAGTCCTGTCACGTGTGCAGGGAACTTGACTGGTCCTACGATTCTATGATTCTATGATAAATATAGAAATAGGGCCCCATTGCACTTATATGATGGTGTGGAAGTAGAGCAAGGCCTGACAGGGATTTCCTGCACCCAAAAAGAGAGTGAGAACTGTGTTTTTCTCCGACAATGGTCACCATCTTGGCTGGTACCATGTAGTTGCATCAGGGACCACCAGAAATAAGGTTGCAGCTTGATCTAAAGAGGCAAGCTCCCTGGTAGGGGTGTGACAGACTCACGGGCTCTGGAGATTGGGCGCAGAAGGGATTTGTAACACACAAATACCTGTGGGTGGCATATGTACGAGTGACTCTGTGTGGCTGCTTTATCTGAACTGAAATCACCCCCCACATCCTGGAGGCCTGGGCAGTCCAGACATTCCCACTAATCTCATGTCATTGTTATTGCAGTTTATTCTCGGGTACACATGGTCACTCAGATTCTCACACTCCAGAAATGTGCACATAACCCAGGCTAACACGTTGTGGCTCCTTATCCCCCTCTAGTGGTCAGAGCTTGTAGAGCAGCTTATGAGTCTGCTGTTTTCTCTGTACTAGTTCACATAGTGCTTGTAGCAAAGGCAGTATGGATTCCTCCTTGAAAATCGACAGGCCCTGTGTTCAAGCCATACGTAGCTTCTATCAAAGGACATTGTCATCTAGTGCCACACAATAGAGTACAGCCAAACACACACACTACTGCACAGCCCACATATACACAAACACACAGTAGTGTGTCTGCATGCAAACACACAATCATGTTCAGGTCACGTACACATGCAAAACCACAACAGTGTTGAGTCTAGATTTACACCGATATAATCAGCATGCAGCTCTAAAGGCTTATCTGCAAAGTGAGAGGCAAGCCTAACTCACAACAATGTGGCCGTCAACCAAGAGTATTCATAGGTTCCAAGGCCAGAAGAGACCATTGTGATCGTCCAGTCTGACTTCTTGACCACAAAACTTGGTAAATGGTTCCAGTGGTTAAGAATTTACACCTTATTTGTAGTCTGAATGTGTCTAACTTCAACTTTCAGTCTTTGGATCATGTTATACCTTTGGCTGCTAGATGGAGAGCCCATTATGAAGTATTTGTTCCCGTGTAGGTATTTGTATACTGTGCTCAAGTCAGCCCTTAACGTTCTCTTTGTAAATCTGAATAGATTGAGCTCTTTGAAAAATGTACATGTCAGATCCACAGCTTGTGTAAATTGGCATGATAGCATTGGCGTCTATGGGCCCAGTCCCTGGCTGGTGTAAATGGATGTAGCTCCATTGAAATCAGGAAGCCAGATCCTCATAGGGGGTAAATTGGTTAAGCACTATCAAAGTGAATAGAACTACAGTGGTTTGCTAAAGATCTAGCCCTAAATGTTAAGGTCTCATTATTTTCTCACATATGCCAGTTTTATGCCAGTCTGACTCCGTTGATACCATGTGGAACAGCCTTCCAAGGTGAGCAGTGGGGGCAAAAAACCTAACTGGCTTCAAGACTGAGCTTGATAAGCTTATGGAGGGGATGGTATGATGAGACTGCCTACAATGGTATGTGGCCCATCGGCAACTGCCAGTAGCAAAAATCCCCAACTCCTGGAGATCGGACACTAGATGGGGAAGAGTGTGAGTTGCTACAGATAATTTTTTCCCAGGTATCTGCCTGGTGGGTCTTGCTCACATTCTCAAGGTCTAACTGATCGCCATATTTGGAGTCAGATTGGAAGAGACCCTGCGGGATTTTCACCTTCCTCTGCGGCACGGTGCATGGGTCACATGCAGGTTTAAACTAGTGTAAATGATGAATTCTCTGTAATTAGAAGTGTTTACACCATGATTTGAGGATGTCACTAATTCAGTCACAGGCTAAGCATCTATTACAGGAGTGGGTGGGGTTCTGCCACCTTCAATGTGCAGGAGGTCAGATTAGATGATCACGATGGTTCCTTCTGACCTTAAAGTCTCTGGGTCCTGATTTATACATACAAGGGAAAGAAGCTCCCATCCTTGCTTTCTGGTGTCCATAGAACAGGTGTAAGTGGCAATGCAGTTTAATAGGCATTGCTTGGGCACAGAATGAAAGGCTGATTCTTCTCTCCCATGAAATGCACACCAGTTTAACTCCAGGATTGGGTCAGATCTTTTGCTGATGTAAACCAGCCCAACTGCATTGACACCAGTGAAGTTAATCTGGATTTGCACTGGGGGCAACTGACAGCAGAATCTGGCCCACTTCTATATAAACTGCGTTGTCATGGGAAATAACTGACATGGACTGGGAAACACAAACTGAAAGAGTATTTATTGGAGAAAGACAGACAATTAATTATTGGCGAATAACCTCCCATCAGTCAGTCTCCTCAATGAAGATTTGATCTCCTTGTTCCTTATGCTGTAGATGACCGGATTCATCATTGGAGGCACCACAGAATAGAGAGCAGCCACCATGGGATCCAGACCTGATGCTGAGCTGGAAGTGGGTTTCAGGTAGGCAAAGATGGCAGTGCAAACAAACAAGGAGACCATGGTGAGGTGAGGGAGGCAAGTGGAGAAGGCTTTATGCCGGCCCTGCTCAGAGGGGATTCTTATCACTGCTTTGAAGATCTGAACATAAGACACAATTATAAAAACAAAACAGCTTAAGACTATGCAAGCACTAAAGATGAGAGCGCCAATTTCACTGAGGTTCAAGTCAGAGCAGGCGAGCTTGAGGAGCTGGGGGATTTCACAGAAGAACTGATCCACCATGTTGCCTGCACAGAAAGTGACTGTAAATGTGTTCCCGGTGTGCAGTGTAGAGTAAAGTATTCCACCGATCCAGGCACTGGCTGCCATTTGTACACAAGCTCTCCTATTCATCACTCTCTCGTAGTGCAGTGGTTGGCAGATGGCGACGTATCGGTCGTACGCCATGATGGTGAGAAGGGGAAAATCTGCTCCCATTAAGAAGATGAGGAAAAAGACTTGGGTGACACATCCAGCGTAAGAATTGAGCTGGAGTTGATTAGGGAATTGACCATGGATTTGGGACTGGTGACAGAGATCGAGCCGAGGTCTATAATGGACAGGTTCACCATGAAGAAGTACATGTGGGTGTTAAGATGATGGTCGAGGGCTACGGCTGTGATGATGAGAAGGTTCCCCATCAGGGCCGCTAGGTAAATCACCACAAAGTGCAAAATTTGCAGCTCCCGATCATTAGAGAATTCCAGGAGAAGGAACTGGGTCAAGGTGGTTTCGTTGGACATTTTCTTCCTCAGAACATCGTGCGCTACCTCTGGAGGGAAGGAGAAGGGCAATGGTCAGGATTACATCAGTAAAATAACTCTCCTTTGTGAAAACGGCCTTAATTCACACGAGTCAGACCCTTGGCTTGTGCAGATTGGTGTAATATGGGAAGGGGAATGCAGGATCCATTGACTCAAGTGGAGTTAGTCCAGATTTACACTGGGCAGTGAGAGGATAGTCAGGCCCATTGACCGAATGAAATCGCTACTGATTTACACCAAGCTGAAGGAAAACAGAGTAACCAACTGCTTTTTAGGAGTCTGTAAACCTTTCCACTCAGAGAAGTATAAAGTTAGGTGAATCTTACCTTCATTTAATAGAGGGGAAAATGCATACCAGAGAGCTAGAATCTGCTGTCAGATACACCAGTGTAAATCTCGGGTAATGTCACTGAAAGCACTGGAATTACTTTGCGTTTACACTGCTGCAAATGGGAGTAGCATCTACCACTGAGGTGAAAGAGCTCACTCACGGCTATACAATGACTGAGCTGTAGAATCAGGAACAGAACGCAGGAGGAGTCCTGAATCCCAGTCAGCTGTTCTAGCCATGACCCAACACTATCTATCCAAAACAGAAAAAAAGGTCCCAGGCTGCTTTCTCACTTCTATAACCTATAGAACCCCATGACCCCACTGCTCTCTCAGAGGGGAGATTTGAACCCAGGAGTCCTGATACTGCCCAGCCCCTCCCATAATCGTTGGATTACATGCTGAGCCCAGAGCTGGGAATAGAACCAAGAAGTTCTGACTCTAAGCCACCCACCCTAATCACTACACCATATGATTCCACTATTAAAAAATGTAGCAATACTGCACAGTGCTCTTAATAGCAATAAGATCAGTAGTACATAAGAACAGAAGAATGTCCATACTGGGTCAGACCAAAGGTCCATCTAGCCCAGTGTCCTGTCTTCCTACAGTGGCCAATGCCAGGTGCCCGAGAGGGAATGAACAGAAAGATAATCACCAAGTAACACATCCCCTGTTGCCCATTCCCAGCTTCTGGCAAACACAGGCTAGGGACACCATCCCTACCATCCTGGTTAATAGCCATTGATGGACCTATCCTCCAGGAATATATCTAGTTCCTTTTTGAATCCTGTTATAGTCTTGGCCTTCATAACATCCTCCGACAAAGAGTTCCACAGGTTGACTGAGCGTTGTGTGAAAAAAAATGTCCTTTTGTTTGTTTTAAACCTGCTGCTTATTAATTTCATTTGGTTATCCCTAATTTTTGTGTTATGAGACAAGGAGTAAAAAAACTTCCTCCTTTACTTTCTCCACACAAGTCATGATTTTATAGACCTCGATCATATCCCTAGTCATCTCTTCCAAGCTGAAAAATCCCAGTTTTATTAATCTCTACTCATATGGAAGCTGTTCCATACCCCTAATCATTTATGTTGCCCTTTTCTGAAAATTTTGCAGTTCCAATACATCTTTTTTGAGATAGGGAGCCCACATCCGCCTGCAGTATTCAAGATGTGGGTGTGCCATGGATTTATATAGACACAATATGATATTTTTTCTTGTATTATCTATCCTTTTCCTAGTGATTCGCAACATTATGTTAGCTTTTTGACTGCCACTGAACATTGTGTGGATGTTTTCATTGAACTATCCCCAATGACTCCAAGATCTCTTTTGATTGGTAACAGCTGATTTAGTTGGGTTTATGTTTTCCAATGTGTATTACTTTGCATTTATCAACATTGAATTTCATCTGCCATTTTGTTGCCCACTCACCCAGGTTTCCAAAGGTTCTTTGTAACTCTTCACAGTCTGCTTTGGACGTAACTATCTCTTGCCACCTCACTGTTTACCCCTTTTACCAGATCATTTATGAATATGTTGAATAGAACTATTCCCAGTACAGACCACTGCAGGACACCATTATTTACCTCTCTCCATTCTGAAAATTGACCATTTATTTCTACCCCTTGTTTCCCTTCTTTTAACCCCTTACTGATCCATGAGAGGACTTTCCCTCTTATCCTATGACAGCTTACTTTGCGTAAGAGCCTTTGGTGAGGGACTTTGTCAAAGGCTCACTGAAAATCTAAGTACTCTATATCCACTGGATCTCCCTTGTCCACATACTTGTTGACCCTCTCAAAGAATTCTAGTAGATTAGTGAAGCATGATCTCCCTTTACAAAAATCACATTGATGCTTCCCCAATCAATCATGTTCATCTATGTGTCCAATCGTTCTGTTCTTTTCTGTAGCTTCAACCAATTTGCCCGGTACTGAATTAAGGCTTACCAGCCTGTAATTCTCAAGATCACATCTGGAGCCTTTTTAAAAAATTGGCATCACATTAGCTATCCTCCAATCATTCGGTACAGAAGCTAACTTAAATGATAAGTTAAAGACTACAGTTAGTAGTTCTGCAATTTCACATTTGAGTTCCTTCAGAACTCTTGGGTGAATCCCATCTGGTCCTGGTGACTTATTGATGTTTAGTTTATCATTTTTTTTCTAAAACCTCCTCTGATGACATCTCAATCTGAGAGCGTTCCTCAGATTTGTCACCTAAAATAGTAGTAGAATGCCACAGGATCAAGATCCAGTCAAGATCAGGGTACCACCGAGCTGGGCTTTCTTGAATTGTCCAGCAGTTTACTTCCTTTGATATCAATGATGGTCTGTCTTGTGTATGAACTGTAAGATTTAGCACCATCCTATTCTTTCTCCCTTTCCCTCCCACCCAATCAATTAATGCATCAACAAGGAAGAAGATAAATGAGATTTCAGAAGGACTAATGATTACCCATTCCGAAACACTCATATGCAGGGTCACCGAATCCATCCCCCTGTTAAAGTCATTGGCGTATACAAAATATTATTTGGCATTTGGGTATTGATTGACATTATCCTAGGTGGGGCTGGTAATGCTGCCTCATTAATGTTGCCTGACACTTCTCTTTATAAAGCCCTGTTTTCTGTTGCTTATAACTTTACCAAACTTTAACCACTGAAATTGCTATTTTCTATGTCAGGTGTCTAGCTCAATACACTTGAGACATTTCCAAGAATGAAGCCAAGGGAAAATATGCTGTTCTGCTAATTTTAAGCTCTAGTGTGACCAGGCTTTTGAGACTGGACTTGACATTTGGCATGAGGAGTCATTTTATAAAATAAAAAAGGTCAGATAAAAATAATGTAAAATAAGATATAAAGTAAAAAACAAAATATTGAAAATTGAACAAAATGTTTCAGTTTTACTGAAATGTAATATTTGAACTGGTACAGCTCTTGTTCCAGCTCAGGTGGTAGCTAGGGGATTCTTCATGATGGCTCCTCTCCCCTTTTGTTCTGTTCCACCCCTTTATATATCTTTTGCATAAGGTGGGAACCCTTTGTCCCTCTGGGTGTCCACCCTCACCCCCTCACTGGAAAAGCACCAGGTTAAAGATGGATTCCAGTTCAGGTGACATGATCACATGTCACTGCAAGACTTCGTTACGCACTTGCAGCACACACATATACAGCAAGACTCACAGGTAAAACACAGCCATCTCTAGACAATGGTCCTGGTTAATGGGAGTCATCAAGATTCCAAACCACTGTTAATGGCCCACACTTCGCATAATTACAATAGGCCCTCAGAGTTATATTTCATATTTCTAGTTTCAGATACAAGAGTGGTACATTTATACACATAGGATGATCACACTCAGTAGATGATAAGCTTTGTAATGATACCTCACAAGAGACCTTTTCCATGAAGCATATTCTAGTTACATTATATTCACTTATTATCATATTTTTATAAAACCATAGACAGCACAACGTCACAGGGGATTCTCTATATTCTCATAAAGAGGAGAGGATAGACGTTGATAAAGCTGATAGAAGCTAGAGGGACATGTAGATAGGCTGGAGGGTAGGGATAGAGTCCAGAGTGACCTAGACAAATTGGAGGATTGGGCCAAAAGATATCTGATGAGGTTCAACAAGGACAAGTGCAGAGTCCTGCACTTAGGAAGGAAGAATCCCTTGCACTGCTACAGGCTGGGGACAGACTAGCTAAGCAGCAGTTCTGCAGAAAAGGACCTGGGGATTACAGTGGATGAGAAGCTGGATATGAGTCAGCAGTGTGCCCTTGTTGCCAAGAAGGCTAACGGCATATTGGGCTGCATTAGTAGGAGCATTGCCAGCAGATCGAGGGAAGTGATTATTCCCCTCTATTAGGCACTGGTGAGGCCACATCTGGAGAATTGCGTCCAGCTTTGGGACCCACACTACAGAAGGGATGTGGACAAATTGCAGAGAGTCCAGCGAAGGGCAACGAAAATGATCAGGGGACTGGGGCACATGACTTACGAGGAGAGGCTGGGGGAACCGGGCTTGTTTAGTCTGCAGAAGAGAAGAGTGAGGGGGGATTTGATAGCAGCCTTCAACTACCTGAAGGGGGTTTCCAAAGAGAATGGAACTAGGCTGCTGTCAGTGGTGGCAGATGACAGAACAAGAAGCAATGGTCTCAAATTGCACTGAGAGAGGTCTAGGTTGGATATAAGGAAACACTATTTCACTAGGAGGGTGGTGAAGCACTGGAATGGGTTACCTAGTGAGGTGGTGGAATCTCCATCCTTATAGGTTTTTAAGGGTCGGCTTGACA